GCTGAGCGCATGCGGGACTCGTCGTGCCTTCCAGACTCGCGTCCCACAGCGCAACGTGCGGGATCTCGGCTCGCGGACCCTAGCTCTCCAAGCTTCACCTAAAAGCTATCGTGGAATTCTATCCATATCCAGGTTCCTGGCGTACTAGCAAGCAGTCTCAATATGGACAAGATGCAGGGACACTTGAATGAGAACGGAAAGAAAGGACCAAGAGAACAGCTGAAGACTTAGAAGTTAATCTGAGGTGAGAACCACAACAGATTCCTAAAGGGACAGCAATCAACTTAAACCTGACCGGGGGATTTCATTTTGAATGGCAAAGACTGAGCTATCTCTACACAGACAGACAGTTTTCTCTAAAATCAGTTCAGATCATCAGCTGAGACTACCATGTATCAGGTACACAGATTAACACAGACTCATAATAAGCATTATCACACTATGAACAAAAATCAGCCATTATTTATGCTACCATACATGGCTCCTTCTCTGTTGGTCCTTCAAATGAGGATCAGGAATAACAGGCCTTAAATATTTTCAAGTGTTAAAAAGTCACTGCTAGGGCTAGAATTGATCTCAATCTTAGTCGCCCGGTATGCTAATGATGATAAACCAGGCAGACTAGCCAGTTTGTACTTGGACTCAAATTCCTGCCGAATGAATCAAGGTCACAGTTTGGTGGTAATGAGGGTAAAGACCACGACTCTCTTGGGAAGCAAAGTCTCGATTTAGGAGGGAAACACTTGGCAGCCCTGGGGCTTACCAATACATAAAGCTCAATTCTAAGATCGAACACCGAACTCATTGGACTAGGTGCAGTGGTATTGACCTCAGAAGTCGACTTCTCCATGCAAGACTGGCGTTTGGACCGCAAGCACGCTCAGCTCACTAGTACTCTGCTGCCTCAGGAGGCCCATGCCTGTCAGCCTTGGGAGCTGTCGCTCTCGGGGCCCTATAAAAGGGCGGTAGCTTGAAAGAGTGCTCACAGCAATGTTTGTTCAACCCAGATATTTCCCAGGGCCTCGCCTGGAACGCGCAGCACTTTATTAACACATTTTCCAGGAACAGAAACACGAAAGCATAGGAAACAGAGCTCCTTTTTACAGGCAGGAACCTTGAGAAGAGACAAAAGTACCTTCGGCTGGGTAGGGTTTTCTTTGGGTCTGTGCTGGCAAGATGATAGGTAACGCTTCTGTGCCAGGTTAACCTTTGGACAGCCTCAAAGAGAATCGAGTTCAGAGGCTAACTCAAGCGGCTCGTATGCTACTCAAGGCATTTATTCCAAAAAGCAGACCCACTTGAGACCTAGGAATGAGCCTGCTGGCCCTAGTGCCCTGCTGGTTGTACTGAGCCCGGGTGAGGCAGGCCCGTGCACCCCTGTCCTAACACACAGACGCCCACACCGTCGTGGCCTCACTGAGCTCCTCCTGGATGGCGGTGCCCTGAGTGACTTACCTTCTCACTTCTATCTGCCTAGGACAAACACCGAAGCGGGCAGTGGTCAGCCACCACGGGGACTTCTGTCAGTTTTAGGGCAGTAATGAAGGCCAAGTAGCTGCGCAGAGAGCGAAGTCACTGAAACGCCAGTCAATGGAACTGCATCTTCACGCTCCTGGAAGCTTCTCCCCCTGCCCACCCTTCTTTGAGCAAAAGGGTCTTGGGGGCAAAGCCACTCAACACTGATCTTCTTACCGCAGTTTTCTTCATCTTCGCCACTGTCACAATCATTTTCACCGTCGCACCTCCAGGACACTGGGATACACTGAGTGGAACGGGCGCCACAGCTCATTTCATTTATGCGACATGTTCTCATATCTGTTGACGATACACAGTCTCAAAAGAGCCTCCCCCACGCCTCCGAGCCAAGCTGCTGCCCCTGAGCTGCCTGCGTGTGGGCTCGCCTGTCACCCGGTGGCCTGGCGAAGGGGTGAGATTCGACTGACTAGTTGAAGCCTGGGGAGATGGTTCACCAGCTCCACGGCTGAGAAGCCACGGGAGTCGGTGCCGCCCGGCAGGGCCCCGAGAGCCTTGACCGTGTTACTCCTTCAAGGTTCCGTGGCGTGCTCAGCTCTGGCTTCTGTTTTACTTGGCGCAGTTAGGCTTATTGGCTGGCCTGCTCCTTGACCTTTTTTTGTGTGGCTTTTTTTTTTTTTTTTTGTTATCTGTCAGATACCAGATAAGGTCACCTAATTCCCACTTCTTTAAAGGCTGGATGACCTAACACCTGGGAAGTCTTCTGCTGACTAGATTCCTTGATAGGTTTCTTCGTGACCTACGTGGGCTTTGCCACAACGGGGACCCCTCCTGATCGTTGACCTCGCTGGGCCACCCTCTACTAACACTCAGGGCCGCGTCTCTGTGGAACCTGGCTTGCCCTGGGGCGATTTACCTGCCATGACCAATGTTCTTATCGCTCCCCTGATTCCTTGCCTTGAAAACTGAAATTGATGCATTTATCTTCCTTTCCGCTTCACTGCGTTGTGTCACCCTATCCGAGACCTAAACTTGGGTCCTGTTAGATTTGCACTTTTCGTGTTTCAACAGGTCTCTACTGCTTTGAAATAAACTCCAAGACTTTCTTCACCACGACATTCAAATGATCCTAATTTACCTATCCCAAATCCTTCTCCTCTGTGATGTCACAGACCTCTTCCCGGATATCCACCTAAGGACACGTATATACATTGGCATACCTGTGAAATTTTTCTTATTTAAGAATAAGCTGTAAGCTTTACCCTACTTAAAAGCCTCAGGTAACAGGTTTGTTAAGAAATCACAATGTCACCCTAGCTCTAGCTAATTTACCCCTTCAGTAATAGGTTTTGTTTTTTGTTTTTGTTTTGTTTTTTATAACAGAAGCTGTACATCTAAAAGCTTATGTTATAAAAGCTTATCCTGAGCCCAAAGGGGGAACCCTCCTATCTCGACTTAGCTTCCAGGACCAGAGTACCATCTGCTCGGAGTCATGATTACCAAATATTTGAAATCTATGCACCTAGTCAAGGAGTTCTTAATCAAATCGGCTGGCTTCGGTCTTAAATATTCAATAGTGAAGCTACCCAAGAGAACGTCAGTCTTGTTAGACTAGGGACAACATTCTTTAATGGACACTCATTAACTTGTTAATGACTTGACTGACCTTGGAGTCCACTGGCCTACACATCAAGGTAGGCCAAGGGAAACAACCAAGTTTTGGATGAAATAGTACTTAGAGCTATGAGACACAAAACAGCCTGGGAAAGTTACAGTCCAAAGCAAGTCACTCACGGCACTGTTCCGGGTTTTCATCAGAGCCGTCTTCACAGTCGGGATCCCCGTCACATTGCCACCGGCTGGGGACACACTGGCCATTGTTGCACACAAAGTCAGACTCGGCACACGTCTTCTTTACTACAAGAGTTTATTGGCAGGGTTAAAGTCGTAGGCACCTGAGAGCTGATATTCCCATTGGGGGTGAAACTGCCTGTTGACACATTTTATTCTAACGATGGAACGGAGTCAGCGCTCGACTGCTAATATCCAGGAGAACACTAGAAAAATCTGTTTTTTTTTTCCCTCCAGGGGAGCAAGGTGCTCATTTGAGAGAGTTGGGGGATATGGAAGTCATGGTAAGACCGGGGTTGCTCCTTACCCTACAACCCAGGGATACCTTACAATTAACTTCTTGCCTGTTTTATGTTGTTGAGTTTTATTCAGTACTAGTTTTATTCTCTTCATGCGTTTCTTCCAAGTCCTTCAAGTGCTTCCTAAGGTTTGAGAGCCAAACATTCCATCCCATGACTGGATCACAGTACAACTGTTCTGGGGGCATCTCTTAACAGCGCATGGGGTTTAGTGTGGAGTTGGGAGGACAAGCCCCAGGACTGAATATTGTCACTCCTACAGGTCTGTTGGGGCAGAGGAACCCAGCCAGTAAGAAACAGAGAAAGCTTAAACCCCGCTTATAAACGAGGTGACACTTAGAATCCAAGAGATGGAGTAACCGCAGCTAAAAGTCACAGGAGATGCTGTGAAAGCTGCCAATGTCCCCAACTGAGGACTAGAGTGAAAAATCGCCTCAGAAAGGTATCAATTCTGCTTCTAATTCTGGTGATCATGCAACTTGTCCAAACTGGGACAATCTCAGCAGAATGGGGACACTGAGAACTATACCAGGAAGAGAGGCATAAACCTGGACTCTCTTAAGCCAACTGGGCAGCTTGGTCACCTTACCCACCAGAAAGAGTAGGAAGGGTCTCCATAAGCAGCCACATAGGGTGTTCTAGGCTTCTCCTTCCCAAGCTGTATTCTTCCTAGCTCACGTGCCTCTTCTTCTCTAACGAATATTCTGGAATGGTACATCAGCTAAAAGCTGACAGTTTGCTAAGAATTTGAAAGGGATTGCTTCAAGTCTGGGGTCTGAGCTAGGGACAACTCACAGGGTGGAGAGGACACTGAAGTACAGGGCCCCCCTAGTTTAGCCTCGGACATGGTGCACCAGGGAAATAGAGTGACTACAGTCCATTCTGAGAATTCAAGATGTGGTGAGGGATCCTAATGATCCGAAAGGGATAACGCATGTCCATGAATTGTGTAGCCAAGGAAACAAGAAAGGCCATGTTAAGCTCTTAGATTCGCACCTGTTTCTAAAAATCATTGAAATACTCAAACCCCAGTGTTAATGGTTAAAGCAATATCCAAGGCCTGTGCGCTCCTGAGCACGTCGGAATGTACGAGAGCATCTGCAGAGTTAGTTTGCTGTAATTCAACCTGCAGTGGTCCTCAGGAAGAGGAAGCAGGGAGTAGTTGTAAAGAGACCACGTGGTCTGAAGATGTATAAAATGTTACAGGCACAGGCAAGACTGGCTATACTAAGAAGTGTCCAAGCAAACGATAACTAGGGATCGAAACTTGCTAGAGTTCATCTCTCTCCATTCTGAACACAGACTGGGAGGGTCAAGAAAGGCTATTTGAATTGGGCCTGAAGAGATGGATAGAAATGTAGGTGTGCCACAGGGGAAGAGATGTACCAGTTACCCGCGCAGAGGGTCTAAGTTACTCATTAATCCGGTCAGCCTCACACTTGTAAAAGACTTGAGTTCCTGGGGCTGATGGAAACACATTGCTTGTGGATTCCCAGCTGCAGTTGACTAAAAATGCTGGTTGACATGCTTGAAAGAAACAGCTCTGCTGAGATTGCAGCCCAGTTCAATATCAAGACGTTGGACAGGAAAAATACTAAGTGGCTTTATGAGTTTTAAGCAATTGTGCAGGCTTTTCCCTTCCAGGGAGGAACATCTCAAAATAAACATGCAGAACCTCCCTGAGCCGTGTTCCCACTTTCCTCCTCTACCTTCATACCCAGGAGGCAGAGAGCAATACTGGCCAAGAATATATTTAATTTTTCCCACCTCGTGTGATTCTGAGTACATACATCTACCCCCTTAACTCTTCCAAACCCTCCTGCCGTGTGTCTAGAAGTTATTTACGTGGAGGCTATTTTAGGAAAAGCCAGCGGTCACCCCTACGATGACCCAGGTTAGCTGCTACTAAGTTAGTCAGATGGTCAAAGAAGGCTTCTGAAACATGAAGAGAATAGTTACTTTAGAAGAATAATGGGTTTTGCCATTGCAAACACCCATGATATTGCTGGGCAAGCTGAAGCATAAGACCAGGTGCCGTGATGCTTACGCTCTGCCATTTTTGTAATAGCACATGAAGAAGCAGGTAAGGACATAACAAGATGGCAATTGACGCTATCTACACTTAGCTTCTATTTTTCTTCTGTATTTCTAGTTTGTAGAGCGGACATCTTTATAGAACATCCTTGAAAAGGCAAATGACAATGTTGTCACCGACTTCCATACACAGTCTTGTTTCAGGATTTTTACAACATAGAACAAAGGGATCAAAAGTAAACTTCAGCATGTATTCAAGGTAACTTAAACACCACCTTGACATGTAGTTCTGGCTCAGCATGAGGCATTTCTCACAATGATCCTTTGATAGACACTGATCAGTGGGTATGACGGTCTATCCCCATTCTCTTGGGGAAAGATTGTCTTCTGCCCTGCCTAATGCTTTAGAATTAGCATCTATTATGGGCAGAGACTTTTTAAAAATCCTTATCTGTGATCTGCACTGGCCTGTAGTTTCTATGTCACGAGTTTATTAATCCGTTGAAACCTTAGGGGATTTCTTACTATACATGACTTACTTTCTTTTGGAGGGGATCAGAGTTATTTGAGAATTACAAAAAGAAAGTCTGTTCTAAGCAAGCTTCTGTCTGTCTTTACTTCTGGTCCTCCCGTCCCTTCTCCTAGCTTCCTATACCAAATGTTTGACCTACGATAAACCAGGTCCTGTCATTTGAAAGGACCCCCATTTGATTTTCAGCATTCCACACTCAGGCTGATAGCCCCGTGTCAAACATTCAACCAGATTCCTCTGGACCAGGATGTATAGACTCTTGGGACCCTGGTTCAAAGCAATTTTTATGAGTGGATTCTATTTTCAGAATCCCGATACATTTGAGAAGCTAAGATAAGAGCATCCCATTCAGTGACGTGCATGCATCCTCATGAGGTGGCCGGGGACACCGTTGGGCTCCTTACTCACCACAGTTCCTTTCGTCACTGCCGTCAGCGCAGTCTTCGTCCCCGTCACATTTCCACAGCAACGTAATACAGCGGCCGTTTGTGCACTGGAATTGGGAGGGTTCACATTTGGCTTTTCTTCCTAAAATCAGGAGGGAGCACTTAGCTAGGCTGGGATACAAGCATGGGAAGTTAGAGATGCAAGTTACCCAAAACCCGTGGATACGGTCCCCCTCACAGGGACAGCTGCAGACATAGCAGGGTAGAACATTCTAGTCGCCAGGGCTGGGTGGGCACTGGGGCAGTGACGGACAGTAATTGAGCTCTTAGCTGGGCAAACGCCATCTGGAGAAGACTAGATTTCCCAGCCTCTCTTGCAGTGAGGCACAGCCATGGATGGGGCTAAGGTCTGGCTAACGGAATATAAATAGAAATGGTACATAAAACTTCTGGGAAATATCCTCAAAGGGACAGGGACCCATTTTCCTTTCTTTTATTCCCTTCTGGCTCCTGAAAATTGGGCATGGTGGCTGGAATAGTGAGCTTGGGCCAACGGAGCCAGACCTAGAACCTAGGAACCTAGATTGCCCAGAGGCCACGGGGAGTTGGGTCGGAGTCACCTGCCCCTGGACTCATTTCCCTCGTTTGTTTAACTCACTTGTGTAGCTACAATCACACAGCCAAATCCTAATCCTTTAATGGCATTTCTTGGCCATATTCTTTACGGTTATTCATGAATGATGCTCCCATTACAAGTAAACTAAGGGAGATTTAGAAAGGGTAGCAAGGAGGGGGCAGAAGAGAGAGTTTAATGTATGCCCCCTCGTCTTAGAATTTGAGATCTCATTAGAAAAAGACATGCTTACAAAACGCCTCGAAGATAAAAATCAAGGTACAGTTGAGAGGTAAAGGGAGATCATTCTTAGCGAGGGGAGAAAAACAAAGAGAGGGAGAGCCACAGACCTGGATTTTTTTCCTCTGACTCTCCGTGTTCCTATGCTCGATGTATGGACATTTAATTCACACGGTGGTATGAACTAATCCTTGCAAGTAGAGCACTTAATTTCATCTGGTTTTTTTTTTTTTTTTTTTTTGGCCTGGCACGGGACAGAGGACGTTCAGGGGTTTCCTACCATGAGCACGTGGATTTCTCTGAGCTACAAGGCGAGGATCTGGTTGTTTAATAGAAATAGACTGCAAATATTCGGGACAACCAGGGGTGCCCTATAGCTCCTGCGGATTACTCAGGGAGGCCTTCCAAGCAGAAAGCCTTCCAACTTCCTGCCACCTTCCTGCACTTGCAGCTGCGGCGTGCTGGTTAAAGAACAGATGCTCCAGGGACAAGCGCAGGCTGGAACTCTTGTGCTGGGCGCACAATACTCCCTTTGCCTCCTGGCTATAGCTACTCCCCACTCTCCGGGGGCAGCCTATGCTTTGTGGCTAATTCCCAGGGAGGTTAGAATTCCGCCCCAGTTAGGTTTACCGTATGGGTGTGGTGACATTCTCAGGTCCTCAATGTATTCGTGAACGGCGTGTACCACTCTGCTCCCAAGAGTCCAGTTAAGCTGGGACCCAGATACAATGCAGTAGGATTCGGTGGCATTTCCTACCTCTATATCATGCCATTCATTCATTCCAAAGTATCGTACTGGGCGTAAGGTATCAGGGATTGAGAAGGGAAGAGGTTGTTGGTGGGATAGGTCAGGGGCTGGTTTTTATACTGTTCAACCGAATAGGAAGAGCAGCTGCCTCCCCCCTCCCATCACTGTAATCCCAAGAGCTTCTCTGTGTTCTCAGTGCTGGGGCAATCTGCTCCAGGAGCCCCTGGCTTCAGTTCCCTATCCCCACGGCCTTTGAGGGCTGTGGGAGTTGTAAGAATCTACTTAGAGTACTTCATTTGAAAAGTAGCAAGTGCACAATTTGTCGTCAGACAACATCAATAGAAATCTAGTTGGAGAGAACAGTCAGGCTGCAGGTAGGAGACTCTGAATTATTTTTAAAGGTTTTCGGTACCAAAGGTTGTTCAGTGGAAAAGAGACAAAAATTCAGACACTGATACCTAGACTGTCAAAAAGGTAGGCATATAATCAGACTTAGACATATAATCAGACTTGGACATAAACGTAGGTGTTAAATAATGGTTTTCCAACTTCAGGGTTAGGTCCTGAAGATCTGAAAAATGACTTTTGAAGCTACAGATTTCCTAGATGCTCAAGCTGGCCTGGGATCAAATACAGGGACACAGGTAAAATAAGGCTGGCATTCAGCTCACCAGCACCTCCAACAGGGTCTCTGAACATAGTTGTAGCAAACGGAACGATCAGCAGTAATAAATGATACTAAAATCCCAGCAGCATTGCTTCAAGAGTCGATACTGAGCAGACTCAGGACAGAGAAAAGCATTTTCTTAGTGTTTATTCCAATACCTTAGGACCAAAAGGAGTTTAATTTCTACCTCTTCTTATCTGAGGTATTTCCACTTCTGCCGGATTGTCCTAAAGCTTCTGCCCGATCATCCTAAAGCTGTGTTTTTACCGGGACACACACGTGACTCTGCATTACCGGGGTGGGGGGGAACGATGGGGGTTAGAAGGGGAGAAAGGTACTGAATGTTGCTGCTCCTTTATGAGAGGAGCGGGGTGGGGGTGGTGGGGGCTAAGGCTGTCCAGCTGCCTTTCTAAAGGACCCTCTTTTTAAAGAGAGGTGAGTAAAGACTATAAGCCTTATGGCCGTGCCTCAGTTTCTTGTTATCTAAGCACTCTGTTATGAGAGATTGCTCCTGGGCAGAAAGTGCTCCTGGTGCAGAGTGGCCAGGGCCCCCGGGCCCTGAATCTGGTGCTGGGACCTCAGCCAGACTGCAGCACTGTGGGTCTTCTGTCCAAGATTCAAAAAGATTCTCCCTCACACCTCCGGCGCTCAGATGGGAGTGCTGCCGTACAGAGCTCCAGGAGAACTGAAAGCACCAAACAAGTTAAGAAGCTTTTGGTTTCCACAGCTTTGGGGGATTACAGGACTGTGGACCCATAGTCTATTTTCATCCATGACAGTTAAGTCTCAGGTTCAGCTTCTACTTTCATAAAGGGAACAGGTTGAGCTTGAAATCATCTCTACCCGAGGTGCTTTTATTGATTTTTTTTTTTTCAAAATTTTTTTTGAGAGAGAGAGAGCGGGAGGGGAGGGAGGAGGGAGAGAGAGTTCTAAGCAGACTCTGCCCTGAGCGCGGAGCCCAACGCAGGGCTCATCTCATGACCCTGAGATTGCAACCTGAGCTGAAACCAAGAGTCGGATGCTCAACCGACTGGACCACCGAGGCGCCTGCCCCCTGCCTGAAGGTGCTTTTAATTCTTAGACTAAGCTAAGACCACCAAGGCCTCAAGAAATGACCCCAGAAGTAGAAGCTCTAGGCAGCCTGTTTCCCCAGATCCATCTGCTCAGAAAGGTGAACAACCGGGAGAAAGTGTTATTTTTAGCAGGTTTCTCAAAGCCACAGGGTTTCATAGGAATGCCTTAGCGCCAAAAGGGTGGTTAAAGTTGAGGGGGAAAGTGACAGTGGGGAAACTTGGGTATTTTGTCTGTTTAACCAGGAAGGCTTTCTTTTTCGATACTAGAGTTTTGTGTGAGCATTTTTTTTTTTT